TGCAAACATGGATAAACAGGAAGAGTTCAGTAAAAAGATGGTATCGTAATCCTTATGGGACCATTGTTTACCCAGTCCGTGGACCAAAATGTCATTAGGCAGTGCACGACTGTTTAGAGATGAGATAATTCATGTCATTCTACGCACCCAAGTCCTAGACCAGTCAAAATTAAGACCTTCAGAACTTGGTTGCAAGCAGGATGAAGGTCACAGCTGTTACTTGCCCTTGTCACCTGTTGCATGAGAACTTACATGCAGCACTGGGAGAGAGGCGAGAGGATGGAGATTTCGTCATGGGAGTGTCGTCCGAACCTAGGAGAAGAAAGAGTTTCATGGGTGGCGAGCAGCGTCTTTCTCACCCCCTCAATGCTCTCTCTCTCGTCCGCCTTGGCCTTTCGTGAATGAACGGTTGGGGTAAAATGCCAGGGATCGTGGCAGCTGCCTCTCCAGGCCCTCTCCCCAACCAGGTCACAAAAACTTCTGTCCGGAGATGTTAAAGCCAGGAATCTTTGACTCATTCATTCACTACAGGGGGCCAGCCCTGAGGGTAAGTCTCATTCTCTGCCGCCAGGAGCGTACCATCTAGTAATGGAATTACAGAAACCTACCTCACTAGAGGACACACGAGGACTCTCAGGCTGGAGGAGAATCACGTGGTACTTAGCAAAGATCAGGAGAAAGAAGGAAATGGGAAGTGTGGGGCAGGCAGGAGAAGGGCCCGTGACAGTGGAGGCCCTCGTCCTCCAGGCCTCTGTTTCCCGGGAGAGGGGTGTTGGGCACAGGCGGGAACACTCACCCTCTGGCATTGTCAAGGTGAATAAGGAACCCGTCATCCCCAAACTTGGTGAACATCTCGTAATGGTGACGGTCCATGTTCCCTGTAAAGGAGGGAAGAAATCAGGGGACAGAGGCCCCTGACCTCCCAGTTCTCTCCAGGCAACGGAGGCCTGTGAGCAGGTCAGGGGCAGGAGTCTGAGCCTGGGCCACAAGCTGTCACTTCCCCAGGGGGCCGGAGAGGGAGAAGGAAGCTAAACAAGCAAAGCCTGAACGGACTGTTTTCAAATCCAAGGCTCTCACCCCTGCCCCTGCTCCCAGCCCCCAGCCAGGGGTTCTGATGTGCACACATGTGCCTTTGCACGTCTCGTTCATGTTAGTGTTGGCTTTCCTCAGGCCACAGACCCGCAGCTGAGGCCCGGTGTAGCGGGCAGACACGGGGTAACTTCCTGAAGGGAATGGTGACGAGCCGCCGTCTGCTTCGCTTCGGATCTAAGCACTGCGAGTGCGACGGCCCCTTCATGGCCATCTGCTCTGCTCCCAGCCTTCCCTGGTTCCGGTGGGCCTGGGCGGTGGGATGACCAGTCTCGTGGGCCTGTGGCCCTCCCTGCCACACCTTTATGTCCTGCACTTTCTTCCCTCCCTACCTGGTCTCCCCTCACTTGGTGAAGGGAACATGTGGCTTCCAATCTGACGCCCACCTGGGGCTGTGGCAGGGCGTCACGCCTGTCCCATGAGTGATGACCCCTTCCACTTCTCCCAGTTCTTTGAAGAGAGGGGGGCCCGTTAACTTCTGTCCTCTCGGATCTCCGCCCCTTCTGTTCGTCCTCATGAGCCAGGCTGTAACTTTCCACCCAAGGTCATGGGGAATCCCAGCCACACGGCAGAGCCCACTTCTGCCAGAGGCCCTGAGCATGGACCTACCTATCAGGAAGTCGAAGATGGCCATGTCGATGACGTTGAGGAGCCGGTTGCTGCTGTTGTACGGGTAGATCTGTCTCACTGTGTCGCAGTACAGGGGATTGACCTCCCACCTGAGGGGGAGAAGAAGTCCTGGGGCTGGAAGAGCCAAGATGGCAAGGTGTTGGGGGCCCTCTCTAACCCCAGATTCCTGCCTCCCCGGTCCTGCCCTGGGCTGGAGGCAGCTTCTCTGCACTCAGGAGGACCCTGGGCAGGGACACATGAGGCCGAATAATCCATGTAGAGAGAAGGGTCTGGGGCCTTTCACCCTGTTGAGTCTAAACTGATGCCGGCGGGTAGATGACGGGGCAGGTGCAGGGACCCTCACTGCTTCCTCCGCAGCCTGTCTTGCTAAGCCTCCTGGACTCTGGCCCCCAGGGTCCTGCACCCCTCGTGTCCCCCACAGGCTGCTCTCTCTCACGTGCTCCTCTGCCTGCAATGCCCCGGTGCCGCTTTCCATCTGCTGGGCTCTTCCCCAACCTTCACAAAGTCCCTTAGCATCTCTTGTGTCCTCCAGAAATTCTTCCCAGTTACTTCTCCTCCCATTACGTTTGCAGCGGCTTGACTGATGGACGGCTTCACTCAGTCAACTAATGCTGAATACCTGCAACGTGCCTGGGAGTGTGCTAGGTCCTGGGGACACAGCAGTGAGGTCCTTGGACCCACAGGTCTTGCTCAGGGGACCCCGATGTCCCTGCCATGGGCTCCCGTGTGCCTCCCTGCTATAGCAAGTACTGCACTATGTGTTCATGGCCTGGCTACTTGTCTGTCCACCCACCACACCAAGGAGCTTCTTGAGGGGAGAGCCTGTGTCTGTTATTTCTGTGTCCCTAGCACTCAGTGTTGGGTACATAGAAGGCTCTTTATAGCTGAAAAAAATGAACTGAAGGAGAGAACAGACCCAGGCCTGCCGGTCCCAGGATCAATATGAAATGGGGCAAAGGAGGACTGAGGCAGCTTTGGGGGTTTGAAAGCCAAGCTGGCTACAAGTCCCTGGGTCAGGGGCCGTGGCTACTCTCAAGGACTGGACTGCGGGACTGGGGCGTGGCGTCGTGGCCCGGGGGCCAACTCACTCCTCTTTTCCTGCCAGTGAGTAGGAGCGGATCCAGGGGTTGGGCACAGACAGCCTGGGGGCCAGGTTGAGGGATGGCAGGAAGGCGGAGAGGGAGCCCTCCAGCAGGTGCGGGTTGCCACAGACAGCATACTCGGTCTTGCACATGTACGGACACTTGGCGAAGAAGCACACGTTGCTGGCTGGAGGACGAGGGAGGAGAGAGGACAGAGAGTAAGAGGAGGGCCCAGGAGGCATGCCATTTTCCTCCCCAGGAAATCCACTAGGAGGGAAGGGAAACCCTGAGCTCAGAGCCCGGGAAAAGGCAGAAGAAGAAGGAAACATTGCCTTTTCCAGAAGTGCAGGCTCGTGGATGCTACTAAACTGAGCGCCCCGGGTACCTATTTTCAAATGTCTCAGAGCAGAGAAAGTGTGGGATCCAGCCTCCCTGCATCCTATCCGCATAATTAGAATAGTCTTTGCTGCCCTGGATGGATAACACCTGGATCCAGGGAGGCTGACGTCGCAGGTTCGGTGCCGCACAGACTGTTAGCACCTCCCACACCGCCTTCTCCTGTCCACAGTTCATCTTGGGTTATGCTCAAGCAGGCCAGGGTGGGAGTGTATGACAGCAAGGAACGCCCGCCCCAGTCATGGGTGGCTCTGGCAGCAGCGGGCAGACCACGGCTGAACGTAGTGGTGGCTTACCACGGACTCAGACCCGGACCACGGCTCTGGCCAGTACTCTACCTGGAGAGACAAAGAAAACGCTCTGCAGGATTTCATTCTTGGTGACCTCTAGGATTTCCTTGGTGACGTTCACTAGCCTCCCCACTGTGGGCGGCACCCGTCTGAAGTCCAGAATCCTGAAAGAGAGGAAGCTCTGTTCGGATCTGGGGGACTGTCGGGGAGCAGGGAGTGGTTTCGTCCCCGGGCCGGCACACAGTAGACGTTGCTGGGGTTCCAGGAGGGTGGCCGCTGAGGGGGTCTCTGCAGTGTTGAGCTGACATGGGCAGGAAATCCACAGTGGTGGAGGAGGGGTGGAAAAGGAATCCTTGTTCCTTCCATCAAGCCTCCCGAGCAAACCTTGCCACCATCCCAGCTGTGTTCCTGCTCAGCGCTTCTCATACTTTCACATCCATGCGAGTCGCCTGCGGAGCCTGTTCGAATGTTCAAATCCAGAGGGTCTGGCATGAAGCCGAGATTCCTCATTTCTAAAAAGCTTCTGAGTGGAGCCCACGACACTTGTCCACACACCACGCTGTGAGTAGCAATGACTCAGCAATTGGGAGGAGCCAGGAAGTTTAGGAATATGCTTTCGCCTTCTAATGTCATAACCTTGAGACTCCTTGGTTGAAAGAGGGCATAGACCCCTCATTTTCAGATCAGGAAACTAGAGCCATTGCCCTGAGCAGCATGGCAGGGTTCGTGTTCTTGGTAAGTTGTTATTTTCATTGCATTAAAAGACCTCGTGTTTTGCAATCTGTGGGGTTGCGTAGGACATGCTGGGTTCAAAGGCACCACCCCGAGGTGTAAAGAAGGTGAAAAGCCAGAAGGGAGAAACGCCAGGGAGATCCCACCCGAGGGTCTGCCCAGCGCCCCTCCCAGGGATTGGCCCCTGGAGTCACTGCCGTCTCCGTGGGGCCAGACTCTACCTGTCCAGATGGAAGGCCGCGATCTCGGCGTTGTGCCTCTGGAAGTCAATGAAATAGAAGAAGTCCTCAGGCGTCTCCTCATCTCGCTGCTGTCTGGAAGGAAGGAAGGAATCACGCCCTGGACTCAGGCTTCAGCTGTGAGCCTGAGAGCTGAGGAGCACGGCCAGCGAGAAAGAAAAACATGCTTTTCTGCTTTTCACGCTACACACAGGTGCTGGAATGACAAATCAGGACTGGCCAGTGGCTCCCCTGGCTGGGAGAAGACATGCAACGTGGGAGGAGCTAGGCTTCTTGCAAGACGTTGTCCGTGGGCACCACCAGTACCAAGTTTCCTGCTTAAGACACTTTGGCGACAGTGACTGATTCTTTTCAAAACCCAGCAGTTGGAAGGGATGAAATACAGACATCCTTCTGCAGTTGTAAACAGAAGAGAGAGGGAGGACTGGCCAGCAGAAGCAGAGGCAGCGCAGACCCAGATGCCCAGGATTAACAAAGGTGGGGTGTGAGCCAGGACTCGGTAATGGAAAAGCACCCCAGAAATGCAGTTTGCTATGACCGGGGTCTGCAGAACAGGAAGTTCTGAGTCTTCGGGTGATTTGGGAGGAGTACGTGGGACCAGCCCCTCAGAGAAACGCATTTGGGTCAGGAGAGCGGGCTCAGCCACAGAGTTGAGGGAGGCTGGTGTAGTGGATATTGATTTAAATACATTTAAAAAATCTCTGATGGATTCCTGAAAAGCACCAGCCTGCCTGAGAGTGACGGGGCCTGCGGGTGCATATGTTCGGGAAGGTGCCTCCTAATCACTAAGACCACAGTGATGCGACTTCTGGCCTCTAGGTTGACTTTGCCTTGACACTAATAAACATGGAAGAATGATGACCTTTGCATGATGTTCTAATTCACTGTGGGGGACTGTTCAGATGGCTGCAGAAGCAATTTAAATGTAAATAAACATAATGTGGAAAGCTGTAAATAAACAGCACTGGCAACTGAAACAGTGATGATGTGCACTTCGCCAAAAAACACAAGCAGGTCCTGGAAACCACAGTGAGGTGCTGCCAAGAGTAGAGAGTCTGTTTTAAAAGGTGCAGCCACACTGGCGGCACCGCCTCCGCGCTCCGGCCGAACGGACTTCCCCCCATCATCACCGCATTCGCGGCCAGCGGGGACGATCCTTGTCCCCCATCTCGTGTTAACTTTCAAATTCCACCCAGAGGAATATATAATCTCTCAAACACCCTTTAGGATTTTCTAAAACACCATTTTTCCATTTTTATATGACATATGATAGAAGTGATTTTAGATCTGAAAATAATGCTACTTTACGTCATTGCTTCTCATACTTTGAGAAGCACTGATGTACCTGTCATTGTACGTTGTATATTGTGTATATGACATTTTAAAAACATAACCTTTATGTTCACAATGTATGTTTTCCAAAGGTAAATTTCTACTTTTCTCTCTTTAATTAGGAAAAAATACTGTTTGCTTTAAATTACTTATTTAAAAAAAAACATGATTTTTGAAGAACTATATTTTAAAATGATATACCTGATTTTGGACTACATTTTATAAAAATGTAGATGAAACTTTGCGTTATGGCATAAGAATAGGTAAAATGGCTCTTCTCACTGAATGTTAGAAGCTTTTGTGTTAGATTTGGGGGACAAAAGCTGGTTAGTTTGAACAATTTTTGGACAGGCATAACTTGGAGAGGTGTTGTGGGTTTGGTTCCAGATCACTGCAGTAAAGTGAGTCATGCAAATATTTTGGTTTCCCAGTGCGTATAAAAGCTATGCCTTCCCTATACTCAGTCTATTAAGTGTGCAACAGCATTATGTCTAAGAAATGCACACACTTTAATTAAAAAATGCTTTATTGCTAAAGTCAAAATCTTCAGCAAGTCGTAATCTTTTTGCCGGTGGAGGGTCTTGCCTCGATGTTGATGGTTGACTGATCAGGGTGGTGGATGCTGAAGGTTGGGTGGCTGTAGCAATTTCTTACTGTGACAACAATAAAATTCGCCACCTCGATCGACTCTTCCTTTCATGAAAGATTTCTCTGTAGCATGCGATGCTGTTTGATAACATTTTACAAACAGTAGAACTTCTTTCAAAATTGGAGTCCCTCCTCTCAAACTCTGCCGCTGCCTTATCAACTAAATTTCCGTAATATTCTAAATCCTTTGTTGTCATGCCAACAGTGTTCACAGCATTTTCCCCAGGAGTAGATGCCATCTCAATAAACCACTTTCTTTGCTCATCCATAAGAAGCAACACCTCATCCATTCAAGTTTCATCATGAGATCGCAGCAATTCAGTCACGTCTTCAGGCTCCACTTCTAGTTCTGTTCTCTTGCTATTTCCACCACATCTGCAGTTACTTCCTCCACTGAAGTCTTGAATCCCTCAAAGTCATCCATGAGGATTGGATTCAACTTCTTTTAAACTCCTGTTAATGTTGATATTTTGACCTCCTCCCATGAATCATGAATGTTCTTAATGGCATCTAGAATGGTGAATTGTTTCCGGAAGTTTCTGATCGACTTTGCACAGATCCAGAGGAATCACTATCTCTGATAGTGATTTTAAATTTTAAGATTTGAAAGTCAAAATCACTCCTTGATGCATGGGCTGCAGAATGGTGTTGTGTTAGCAGACATGGAACAGCATTCATCTCCTTGTACATCTCCATCAGAGCTCTTGGGTGACCAGGTGCCTTGTCAATGAGCAGTTAAGTAACACTTTGAAAGGAATCTTTTTTTTTTTTTTCCCTGAGCAGCAGTTCTCAACAGTGGGTTTAAAATATTCAGTAAACCATGCTGTAAACAGATATGCTGTCACCCACATCCAGGCTTTGTTATCCCCATTTCTAGAGCACAGCAGAGTAGATTTAACATAATGCTTAAGGGCCCAGGATTTTCAGAATGGTAATTAAGTATTGGCTTCAACTTAAGTCACCAGCTGCATTAGCTTCTAACAAGAGAGTCAGCCTGTCCTTTGAAGTTTTGAAGCCAAGCATTGATCTTTTGTTCTTTAGCTATGAAAGTCCTAGATGCTGTCTTCTTCCATATAAGACTTTCATCTACACTGAAAATTTGTTGTTTAGTGTAGCCACCTTCATCAATTGTCTTCGCTAGATCTCTGGATAACTTGCTGTAGCTTCTATATCTGCACTTGCTGCTTCACCTTGCATTTTAATGGTATGAAGGTGGCTTCTTTCCTTAAATGTCATGAACCAACCTCCGCTAGCTTTCAAATTCTCTTCTGCAGCTTCCTCACCTCCCTCAGCCTGCACAGAATTGAAGAGAGTTAGGACCTTGCTCTGAATTAGGCTTTGGCTTAAGGCAGTGTTGTGGCTGGTTTGATCTTCTATCCAGACCACTCGAACTTTCTCCGTATCAGCAATAAGGCTGTTTTGCTTTCTTATCATTTGTGTGTTCACTGGAGTAGCACTTTCAACTTCCTTCAAGAACTTTTCCTTTGCATTCACATCTTGGCTAACTGTTTAGTACAAAAGGCCTATCTTTCAGCCTGTCTTGGCTTTGGACATGTCTTCCTCACTAAGCTTAATCGTTTCTACCTTTCGATTTAAAGTGAGAGATGTGAGATTCTTCCTTTCATTTGAACACTTAGAGGTCATTGTAGGGTTATTAACTGGCCTAATTTCAATATTGTTGTGTCTCAGAAAATAAGGAGACCTGAGGAGTTGGGGGAGATGGTGGAGCAGTCAGAACGCACAGAGTATCAAGTTTGTTGTCTTACGTGGGAGTGGTTCGTGGTGCCCCAAGACAATTACAATGGCAACATCAAAGCTCACTGCTCACAGATCACCATAACAGATATAATAATAAAAAAGTTGGAAATATTGTGAGAATTACCAAAATGTGACACAGAGACACAAAGTGAGCACACGCTGTTGTAAAAAGGGCACCGGCAGACTTGTGCAACGCAGGGTTGCCAGAGATCTTCAATTTGTAAAAAACACAGTATCTACAAAGTGCAATGAAATGAGATATGTCTGTATTTGTTTCTGGTTGGCCAGGTAGAGAAGAGGTTTTAGGCTGCGACTTATGACACTTTATTTTCCTGCAAAGGAGACACTGCAGATTCTAGCAGTTTTTCCTCCCAGATGCATGAAGAGGGAAAGTGGAGCTCATCCACTCCACAGTAGCTTTCGGTTTTCTAAGGTTAGAGACATCCGATTGTGCCATATAAGAAATTTGCTCAGAGAACACAATTTATGAATCTGTTGATTTGTGATGAATTCGCAGATTTATCATTACTTTTATGTTTCTCATTAACATCTCACGTTTCTACACCAGTGTTCCTTATGCCACCTCTAACGGGCGCTCTCTTATGACTATACATTAAGCGTGCATGACTAGCTTGAACGATAATTTAAAACTCTATAATGGCCGTAACCTCGCTGACGGCTCTTGTGTTCAACTGAGCGTCACCCCAAAGAGTCACATGTCTACTCGTGGCACCTCCACTAATCGTCGCGTGTGCTCACTGCTATAACTCTCATTTAAAAGGAACACAATTTATTCATTTATTTATTTTAGTACTCTTTATGCCCGAATATAAGATGAGGTTCCTCCCAAAATTGTCCCTAGGAAAAGGAGTCTCTCCATATTCAAGCCCTACCACAGTTTCTCAAATGACAGGGGCACCCTCTCAATTTGCTTTATTTTGTTTGGGACAGGTTCATTAACCTGAAATGACTTCACTCTGTGCTGGTTTTATTGCTTGACAGAACTGGTTAAAACAGGTTGGTGGTGGTGGTAGGGGAGGGGAGTGGAGAAAGAACTTAATATTGATTTAATATTGACCCCAAACTTGACTCTAGTGATGATGACAGCCAATGCCAAAAATTTTTGGCAAGTAAAATATATGGAGGGGGGAAGTATTTCTAAATTTATATATTATTTTATATGATGGGATTTTTTAGTCAATAAATTAAATATTAGCAGACATTCCATTGTTTCATATACATTTCTGAAAAGTTTTATATTTAAATTGACCAAACAACTAGGGTTTTGGATTTCCACATAATGAAAAATGGGGAATTTCTTTACATAGCAGTGGTTCTCAGGTTGCCTGGGCCTTGGGAAGGTGGGGGTGGGAGAGGTTTGGGAGGTGGGGTGGTGGATCCCCCAGAGAAGTCTACGGGACCCCTTGAGGTGAGACTCAGTCATCAGGAGTTTTCAAGGCTCCCCAAGAGGATCCAACATGCAGCTGATCTCCAAACTCCTCTTTATGGCGGTGCTTTTGCCAAAACAGTTCAGGGACTAAGACTCTTCAGAATTCATTCCATGAAGTCCCACCACTAGAACCAGCTACTGGGCCGTCAATATGCCTCTCCTTGATTGGCTGAAGGTTTCGAATCAAAGTGATCTAACTGGATTCCACTGGAAGCAGCACATGCTGGAGGAAAGCATGACTTGGGTAATGGGAGCCCTTCTTGGGACCATTTTCTCTTACATTCCACTGGGTTAAGGCATTGGGGCTCTACTTCAGGACACCCCAACCCATGGGCTACAGACCCTTTGGGGGGCAGAAACCCATGATCACACCAAGCTCTGGCTGTAGACTAAATACATATTATTTCACCCATATAAATGCACTACAAATTCATAAGGCATGTCATTGTCATTGCTGTTATGAATAAAATATAAATCAATGTAAACATGTAATCGACTTCACAATAGCCTTTCTTCATTGTCCAGTTTTTCAATCAAAACAAGTATTGTTGTGTAGAGGTCTGTAAATTTTTGATGTCAAAAAGAGGAGGGTGCTAGCCCTGGGAAAAAAGTGGGGATTGACTGTAGCGGTAGAGTGTGAACTTAGCATCAGCTGCCTGGGTTTGAGTCCTGGGTCCACTGTTTGCAACTGGGAGGTTGGAGTGAGCTGGCCTCTGCAGCCTCAGTGTCTTCACCTGTAAAGGGGACATTATAACAGCATCTGGCTGATAAGGTTGGCCACGATCCAAACGCACAATTCATGTAAAGTGCTTTGGCATGGTTGCTAGTAAGGGCCTGGTAAAGATTTGCTCTTGCTATTTTAACTTATTATCACCAAAAACAGTTATATCCTTGGGCAGATTGTCCAAAAGAGAGTCTCCAAATGACTGGCATAAAGATTTCAGGTCTTATTACTTTTTGGTCAGAATTCCCCAGGGCTGCCACACCTGGGCGTGGAGGCGAGGAAGGCGGTCACTTACCTCATGGGTTTGAACATGGCCTTCCCGAAATCCGAGAACCTCAGCACCAGCTTGAGGTGGACCCCGCTGGGTTTCACAACTGCGAAGGGGCAGAAGGTGAGTTAACGATGCATCTGGGCCCCAGCTCAGGTGCCTGACTGTGTTCATTCAACAAACCCAGCCGATTTCTTCTCTTTTCTCTTGTTCAATCAGACCCTAAAGACTTGGATTCGCTTTTCAAAGCCCGTGGGGTAAATTCCACGGTGTTAGGCCATGGACAGTGTGTCCGGGGGCAACTGGTGTGGAAAAGGGGCAACCAATACAATTTTCCCCAGATAGACGCTTACTGAAAACCCCGCAGAATGTTTTCCTAAGAAGAATTAACCTCTTTCTCTTTGTGTTTCCACTACGCCCTTGCAGATTCCAGATTATGCCATCTATGATGTCGTGTTAGACTAGTTTGTTTACCTGTGTCTTTTCTGTTTAAGGCTGTGCCTCTGGGCTGGGACGGGGGTTTGGGGTATGAGGGCCCCTTAGGCGCAGTGGGGGTTGCTCCCTTAAATTCTGCGTCCTGGGCACCTCACTCACCTCACTGTGTCCCCGCTTTGCTGTAAACCCCGTGAGAGGACAATGTCCCTCTCACTTTGTGTGCTATGACAGGGAAAATGGCAGGTGCTTAACTAAAGGGAAGCCTTGGGTCCTATAAACTTGGCCTTTCAAAAGACACGTCATGTCACGAATATAAGTTTCTGTCCTGTGCTCAGCATAATGAGGTGAAGGCCTGAGGCTCCTCGGGGCTGGCGGTGACTGGCCTGGGGGACTTCGGCATCCAGGTCCCACCGCTAACCAGCTCCCGGCACTGCCGGAGGGGACCTCTGCGGCCCTCGCTCCCAGCGGGTTGATTCTATTAATCATTTACCCCAGCGGGTCCCAACCTTGGCTGCACTGGAATCACCTGGAGCAGTTTAAAACGCTGATGCCTGAGTCTCTCCCTCCGCACGTGACTCAAAACCCCTTGCAGGTGGAGGCCAGGCAGTGGCCCTTTTTTTAAAGCTCTCCAGGTGATTCTAATAAGTGGGCAGCTCTGCGAACCATTGTCCTGGACAATTGCTTCTCGAATTTAAAAACCGTCCTCCAATCACTTGAGGATTTTGTTACAATCCAGATTCTGATTCAGAGAACCTGGAGTGGAGACTGCGGCGCTGCCTTTCTAACAGGCTCCCTAGGGACGCTGATGCTGCTGCCCCTGGACCGCGTGCTGACCGGCCGGGTCCTGCACGAGCTTTCCTCTGAAATGCCTTTTCTTTCTGTGGGTGGCTGGGGAGAAGTGGCGAGTTCTCAGGGGCTAGGCAGAGGGAGCCGTGCTCCTTCGACTCATGGCCAGGGTCCCCGCTGGATGCTGGGTTCACACTGCTGTGCTGGTGAGGGGGCTGGATGGAGGTGGGGCCGGGTCACTTACTCTGGGTGCAGTCACACGCCCCAAGCAAGGCTTTCTCGTCTTGGCTGTAATCTGCGAAGGAGGAGAAGGGCCGTGAGAACTTCCAGCCGTGTTCCTGGCAGAGCCCGGCAGAGGGGGGCCCTTGGCTCTGGCTCTGACCACCAGACGGGAGTCCGATGTAGCCTGGGGCCCTCGATCATTCAGTAAGGGATCTCCGGGGGCCTGAGGGGGCTGCAGCCTCCCACCTTGCTCCATCCGAGGCCTCCTACTCTCTAGCCCTTCAGTGGACACTCCAGCAACACCTGGCTGGGAGACTGAGTCTAGTTTTGTCTCTGCTAATAATTTGCTGTGTCACTTAGACTCATAGTGCTTGGGAACGCAGACCTGGAGTCAGCAGGCCTGCGTTTGGATCCCAGCTCCACCCCTGGGTCCTTGGCCAAGTTACTTAACCTCTCCGAGTCTCAGCTTTCCCATCTGTAAAATAGCGGTGATAATGTCCATGCCATAAGGTCATTTGTATAAGAGAGAAGGTATTGCCTAGTTCAAAAGAAATGGTAGCAATGCCTTTTTTAAGTGTACAGAACACCTCCTTATGCCTCTCTTATGGGGTCATGATGAGTCCTAAGCTCTTTTTCAAAGGGAAAAAGATCAATGTCTATGTTCTTCTTCTGTCTCTCAGGTGTCACTGTCCAGCCTTTAATGTTGCACCCTGGAGCCTGGCCTGGGATGGTCTACTCAGCCTCGCTGGGAGAAAGTCAGTTCATCCTGCCTGATCGCATGAACCTCACCAGCGCTGATGGTGGGAAAGCGCTTCATGTCACGCAGAAGTTTGCTGACCATGGGACTGGACCGGGAGTAGAGCCCATGGCGGTTGATCTCCAGGTGGAACTGGACCCAGCTGGCCTCGACACGGAACTGTAGTGGGGGGTCCAGGGAGGTGAGGTTCATCTGCTCTTTGTACATCTTTTGTCGTCTGGAAGAGCCAAAAGAGTTGTTTTTGTTGTTGCTATTTTTAATTATAGGAACAGAATGTAAAGACCTGCCCAAGTCCCTTGTCTGGATTCTCCATTCATTCTTTCATTCATTCAATGCGTGTATTAAGCACCTAATAAGGGCTGGGCTTTGTTTATGCTTAGGATACCACAGGGAGCAAACACAGCCACGGGGTCCTTCCTTCCCCTTAGGGAGTTTACAGTCTAGTGAGCAAAACAGGCAGTCGTATAATGCCATACACAAACACACAAATATTGAATTACAAACCACAGCGAATCCTGTGAAGGAAAAAGGCACATTGACAAAAGTAAAGGGAGAGACTGTTGGTCTCTTTGTGCACTTTCCTACTAAAAGTCTGTATCTTACAATGTATCTCCCAGTATTTTATGACCTAAGGAGTTAGGAGATAGGAGAGAGAAGGTCATTGGAGGGAATGAGAAGAATGTTGGGTGAGGATCCTTCAGTGGGGCTGGAAGCTGAGTTAGATTAATCAATATGTCATAAAGGAAAAGAAGAATTCATGAGCCATTTACTGTTTCTTCTTCTCAGTGGCCTTTTCTGCCAGAATAAAAAGAAAAACAGTAAAAAAGATGGTGCTAACTACCATTTAGAGGCTTAGAGTCTAGTTTGGGAGACAAGTTGTATGTCTATGAAATAACCAGAATGAAATATAAGGCTGCTATAGATCAGCTGCTAGACTTGAGGGTGGGACTGAAACACCTTCGCATTTTGAAGAAGGGGAAAAGATGACTCTATGATGAAGTGGCCAGAGGATGACAGTGGGAGGTGGTGGACCTCAGCTGAATCCTGAAGAAGGGGAGGTGTCTGGATTGAAGGGGATGGGAAACGAAGCAGGCACTATGACAGGCAGGCAAGGGACCCGCATATCTGGGGATTAGAGAGGAAGGCTGAATAAATGGATGGTTGAATACAAAGATGGCGGCCTCCTGATTGAAAGGCAGAGCAAGTTAGTGTGATGTCATCCAGCCAGGTAAAGCTGATTGCAAGGATAAGGTGGGATGACGGGGGCAGGCTTTGGTGTTCCTGTATGTCCCTGTGTCTCACACTGTGACACCACACCTCTGGGGTCTGGGACAGGGTGAATAACAAAAACATGGCTGATCTTGGAATGTAGAATTTTCTCAATGGTAAAAGTTTTAAAAATTACTTTTCTATTAAAATAAATATGAAATATAATGGGGAAGAAAACAAAATACATCATCTTAAAGATAAAACCCTAGTTTTCAAAGAAAATTTCACTTGAGCTCCTTAGGCTATACTTCCAACTCCGGGGTAGATGGCGTTTTCCCCCCCTGCACTGCCCCTAGTGGAGGAGTTTGGGAAGTGCAGGATGCCGACTTGGCTCTTTGTGTTCTGGCCCCATGGAACTAAGCTGGTGTCTGCTGTCACTCTCCTCACCCCGTGTGGATAATGTAAAACAACACAGCTGTCCTGTCACCTTGAGGGAAAGGCTCAGTTCATGAGCTGATGTGAAAGATGCTTGGGAGCTTCTGTTCCTGGTCTTTGTCCCTGCTACAGGGCCCTTGCCGCCTCTGGGCACTCTTACTTTTGGAGACCTTCGGTTCATATCATATCAAACATATTAAAATTTGCCCCCACACTAAATGTTTTTGTTTTGTTATAATTTTTGAAAATGTTCTTTTATCACTCTGAATCCTGTTAAGAATAAAGTATCTAGTAATATAACCATATGAGTTATCATTGGCTCATTGTTTTGCAAACATTTAATTATATGTCAATTCTTTTTATTTTGGAATTTTCTTTCCATTTTTGAGCTAACACATTTTTTTTGCTGTTCAGGTCTTGGAATGTTTGAAAACTTTGGTATGTCTTAGGCACTGTGTCCAGGGTGCTAACAGGTAAAGGACCCTCACCTGTTGTTTTAGTCCACTAGGGCTGCCATGACAAAATGCCGCAGACCTGGGGGCTTAAACAACAGACATTTATTTCTCACAGTTCTGGAAGCTAGAAGTCCGAGGAAGGTGTCGGCAGGTTTGGTTTTTCCTGAGGCCTCCTTCTTTGGCTTGCAGGTGGCTGTCTTCTTGCTGTGTCCTCACATGGCCTTTTTTCTGTGTGTGCACATCCCCGGTGTCTCTTTCTCTTATAAGGACACCAGTGGTATAGGAGTAGGGCACTGCCCTTGTGATTTCATTAAACCTCAGTTACCTTTGAAGGCCCTATCTCCAAATACAGTCAGATCAGGGGTTATGAATTTGGGAGGGGCACAATTTGGTCCATCACACCTGTCACTCACAGCCTTTGCTTCTAATCACCAGCTAGGTCCGTCCCAGAGGACATTGCTCTAGACAGGCTGGGGAGTTAGGAGAGGGAAATGGAGGGATTGCAAGACAACTGTACACAGCTGGAACTTCCTCCTTGGGCACATTCCCACACACCTACAGAATTTAACTAGAGTCCTTGCTGTTTGGCAGGGCCTGCTTTCATTCTTTTTCTGGGGACCAAGATAAGTGTTTGCCAGCCGTATATATACACATGCATGTGTGTGTATTAGCTTGGGCTACTATAGAAAAATATCATAGACTGCGTGGCTTAAAGAACAGACGTTTATTTCTCATAGTTCTGGGGGCTGGAAGTCCAAGACCAAGGTGCCGGCATACCTGGTTCCTGGTGAGGGCTCACAGGGGCCCCGCCTTCATGACCTCATCGAAACCTAATCACCTCCTCAAGTCCCCATCTCCAAATGTTGGGGTTAGGGCTTCAACATACAAATTTTGGGGGCACGTGAACATGCAGTTCCTACCAATATGCATTTCATTTCTCCACCCCTAGCTCATCTGTAGAGAACACTTATTTAACACACAAAACATGCTTTGAACAGCTACTGATTTTTGATATTTCAGAAACAGATGAAGATATTTCTCCCTAAAAAGGCAGCTTGGTTTTCGGACAGTGAGCCACTCTCCACCAGGTAAGAGTTTCCAGTTATGTTCTTGAACAACGTTCACAGTGCTCCGTGAGCCAGACACAGAGAACTTTAGCCAAGGAGGGTAAAACAAGGCAGAGAGATGTTGGCAAAGAAGCCAAGAGTTGCGTGTGAGACATCTACCTATACTTTCCCCACCTGTACACGTAACTCCCAACTTGGAAAGGAAAAGCATAGAAACAAAGGAGTCTGTCACTATCTTTTATATTTACGACAGTAATTTCCCTAATTGTTTAAGAAGCTGAGGGGAGGCAGTGACAAATTCTGGCTCTATCAGGACTTTGAGCTGTCGGGGACAGTTTACCCTGACACTAACCTGGTTACCTGCTACCTCTTGCTGCAACTCTTCGTGGCTGGTGTACCACACACCGCTCTCTGGCTCATGCTAATTACACTTTCACTCTCGGAAGCCCTACACGAAGGGATGTAGTTTCAGCATTTCAGCATCAAATCTAAGGCTTCTGATTGGGCGTACTTGACCCATGAATCAGCCTTTCAGTAGCTGGACTGGGGATCGTTGGGAGCCAGCGTTCAGTGGCTGGATTTCCAACCTTTTGATGCCTGATGCAGGTTCCCTGAGTCTTTGAAGGTTAGATTTTTGTACCCGACATTGACATTTACGCTGCTGCCCTTCAGATCTCCACCACCTTCTTTCTTGATACTTGAACTCATTGTCTCTTTGGTCTTTTGCCAGTTGCCTTCCCACCCAGCGCTCTGCCAGGCTACATGCTTGGGTAGGTTTAGACACTTGAAGCTTTGTCATTTATCAAGACCAGGTCCTTAAGTTTCCACTGCATTTCTAACCATGTATTTGTTTCACTAGTCTTATTCCTTGTGTCATGCTTGCATTGGTGTCTAAGACCCTGAGCTCTCCTTGGATCTAATTTGACAGCACCTGTATCCTGCCTGTGCTATCTCCCTCTGTTCATCCTTGGTCTTAGTTCTCCTTTGCATATCCTTACCCCCGTGATCATTCCTAGAGCAATAGCTCTGCTGGTGCTGGACCTGTGCATTTGCTTGATCTGCTGAGTCTTCCTGGGACAACCACGTCTTCCTCTCTTTCATCCTCTTATTTCATTTCATATTTGCTATTACTCAAGCCTTGATTATAACAATAGCCGACGGGAAAGAAAGATGTCATGAAATGCAATTCCAAACATTGACACTTAACATCACGGTTGAGTACAGAGACAAGCACACCGGGTAAAGGAGGTGCAAACAGAAGGTGTGGACAAAGGACCAACTATAGAGGAAGCCAAGCCTGTTGGAGTTGGAAGGAACCTGAAAGACCATCTAACCCAACTTCCCTCCTCCCTCATAACATTCCCACCAAGGAGTGGTCTATTTTTGATCAGCTCCAATGAAGGAGACACACCAATCCATAGGAGCTTCATTAATCTGTCTGACTCTATTAGAAAGCACTTTCCAGTACCGAGCCAAAATCTTTCTATAGCTTCCATCAATGAATTGATTTTACCCCCTTGAGTCAGAAGGAACAAATTCCTTTCTTGCATTACAGACTTTTAAATATTTGAAGATGGTTATCATGTGACCTTGGCATCCTCCCGTGTTCAGGTTAAGTTTCTGCATTCCCTATTCACCACCCTTCACAGACAAGGGGTTTGGATCCATTTGTCACCTTAGTAATGGCAATGGACTGAATGTTTATGTCCCCCTCAAATTCATATGTTGAAATTTTAATCCCCAAGGTGATGGTATTAAGAGGTGAGCCTTTGGGAAGTGATTGGGTCATGAGAGTGGAGCCCCCATAAATTGGATTAGTGTCCTTATAAAAGAGACCCCAGAGAGATCCCTCGCCCCTTCTGCCACATGAGGTTATAGTGAGAAGACGGCATCTATGAACCAGCAAGAGGGGCCTCGAAGATACAGAATACACGAATGCCCTGATCTGGGACTTCCCAGCCTCCAGAACTCTGAGAAATAAATTTCTGTTGTTTATAAGCCACCCAGTTTATAGTATTCTGTTCTGGCTGCCCAAACAGACTAAGACAGTT